CCCCGCTCTGATAAATTGAGGCGGACCTGTTTGTTATCTCGGCGCGGCCATATCCTGCCGCCGTGAATTATTTTAGCTGCCGGCCGGTCGGTAATGCGTAATGCGCCTTGTGAACTCGAGCGTTTTATAAGCGGCGGCCTCCGGGATGAACGGTGGCGACGCGACACGACCACCAAGCTGCGGAGGGTGGCTGTGGCGGGCCCGGGCACGCGGCAGCCCCCTGCGGGCTCGGCAGACCCCTGGCTCGACGGCAGCCCTTGGGCAGCGCGGGGCAACCCTACCCGAGTTCCTGGGCCGGGTAGGTTTGGTGTGGTCCTCACGGGGCAACCCTACCTGGGATCGTCCAGAGAGTACGTACGTCCGTTTTTCTCAGGTACATTCGGCAAACTGAGAGCTCGGCGCCTGCGAGACTCCGGTAGGCCACTCCGCAGTACGCCCATGCACTGCATGTGAGATGTTGCCTACCTACTAGGCGTTAGGAGCACTTGTAGAGGCTGTACTTGGAAGGTTAGTAACGGTAAATGGCGGACGTACTTTGTGGATGATCCCTAAAGTTCCTGGGCCGGGTAGGGTTGCTCTGATCCTCACGGGGCAACCCTACCCGAGTTCCTGGGCTGGGTATGGTTTGCCCGACTGCAGCCGTCTGGCTTGACAAACCCCCTGGCTCGCGGAGGCCCAGTCCACTGCTCTTTGGTTTTGCGGTGGGCTCCTGGGGCCTGCGGCGCTCCTGGCGCGCACTGCGGTCAGCGGCGGCCTATTGAATGGAGCCGCACAACTAATCATCTTTGGACGTTCGCGGCCGATGGGCGCTCTGCTCTGGTGGCCCACTCCACTCTGCGCGGTTTCACCCCCCCCCCCAACATTTCTCGTCCTGGTGGTCGCCACTATCACCCCCCTGCTCTTCGTGAACCTCCCTTCTCCCCATATCCACATGTCCTTGATGTCACACACCCACGCGATCCCACTCCAATACAGTACACCACACGACCACCACCAGTCGGATGTTGGGCTGAGCCCAGCAGGATCACTTTATGGCGCGCGAGGTCCTGGGCCGGGCTGCTGGGCGCGGGGCGGGGCTTGTCCGGGAAGGGAGAGGGGGCAAACAAGTAAAAAAGAAACGCGGCTGAAAAGGGCTGCTGAGGGGGGCGTGGTGAG